ATAAACCAACAAATAAAATTAAATCAACTGTATCCGAGGAGGAATTGTCCTCATTGGAGCATATGAACATATCAGAGGTTTTATCTGATACATTTGACGAATCTCTACTAGGGAAATTACTAAAGACCCTGACAGAGGATGTATGCACAATCCATGTCCAAACAGAGTGGAAGAATGAGGAAGTTATGGATGTGGTTAGTGCTATGGTACAGGCCCCAACAGAACCCATGAACATGGAAGAGACTGACAAACCTGACCAAAGTATTACAGAAAGTAGCCCCTCACAATCTAGACCCAGGTGGTAGGTGGCGATCACGCATCCAAGGATGCAAGGCCTACCACATCAAGATCGAGCAAGAATGTGAAGAGGCATAACAAGAGAAAGGAGAAAGTCCTTCAACTGTCAAATACACCTGAAGAGAAGAGACTACTAGTAGAGCACTCAGCTGAGGAAGCAAGGGCCCCCAAAGACCTGGCTGATGAGGCAGAGTTGCTCGAGAGGGAGACCTTTGATCAAGAGGAGAAAGAAAGTACATTGAAGCATACTCAAGAGCAGGTAGCAGAGGATCCAAGGGCCCCACCAGGCCCTGCAAACAACACTGCCATGATGCAGGGGAAAGCTGGATTGAGAGGATGCTTGAGGACATTGTCCTAACATCGGAACTAGGGCATAAGAAACTGTGGATCAAGCCTTGCGGTGGATGTGCACAGAGAGGTGTGCTCTCCCCTATACTGTGGTGCATAGTGGCTAACTCTTTTGTTGGAAGCCCTCAACACTGCAGGTATATATATATAAGGATATGCAGATGTTCTCTCTGATCTTCTCAAAACAGTAATTGACATTCTGAGGAATGGATACAGCACTAATGGGCTGAGCATCAACCCAAAGAAAGTCAGTAATAAAGTAAGTAATGATTAGGGAGTTATATAGTGAACAATTTAAACAACCCTGAACTGAGAAGAAACAACGATATTCAAAGCTGTTCCTTAAAGGTCCTTGTGATAAAAGAAGTAAGTTGCTACTGAGTTTGGACAGAGCAGCTCTCAAAAAGCTTACAGCGATCTACACTGGCCACTGTAAGTTAAATTATCACATGCTCAATCTCCGAGTGGTCACAAACCCGCTATGCAGATTCTGTCAGGAGGAGAATAAAATAGCCTTTCACATCGTTTATCGATGTGATAGACTTGCAAAGGCTTAAACTGGAGCTATTTGGGATGGAACTAGTGGATCACCCCAGTAGCTATCAGTCTGTTAATCCGATATACCTATTAAGATACAGGGAAGCGACTAAACTAACGTTTTAGGAATAAAACGGAACACATACATGGCGCACAATAGATCCATAAGGGTCTATTATATCAACGGTGAAACACATTTTTACAATTTTCTCAGAAACAGCTCTAACAATTTTTATTAAACTTGGTGTATCATTGTACAATTAAGTGTTCTTTAATATCATTTAGATCTTATCCCCATTGATGTCACTTTACAGGGCTTAAATGCCCAATGTTCATAACTTCTTCCTCTAAAGTACCTTTAATTTGGTTTATTTAAAAAAATGATCTCTCTTTTATTGACAGTAACTATAAACAATTTCTAAATATGAAGTTTGAAAGAATAAGATAATTGGAAACTGGATAAAAAAAGAAAAATGCTTATCCAGGTTGAAAATGAATCTCTGGAAAGAACAGTCAGAAGGTATACGTATAATATATCATTGGAAAGCGGAGAATTTTAGAAAAAATAATATCAAATAAATAAAGGTGCAGAAGGTAATGAAGAGTGACAAAAAAAATATAAATAATAATTTCAGAAAACTAACATTATTTAACATAAATGACATGTTTCCAATGAAATTAAATGAAATTATCTTACTAAATGTGAACTTTTAAATTTGTTTCTAAGTTTGAAAAAAATATTAAAAATCCACCGAAACATGCAAATGCCATTGTTTAAAATACTATTTAATTGTACGTGTGTGAAAGAAGAAGTAAAATATAAAAATATTTCATGGATATGTTTATAACCTTAAATACTTTTGCTGCAGTTTATTCACATCTCTATATTTCAACACTACAATCACCTACTCTGGAATCAACTTACTCACTGTCTATGTAGATATAACTTTTACAACAAGAAATATTACTAAAATGACATTACTCAAAAATGTTGAAATTGGAATTAGCCATTCTGTCAACTGAAAGGCTCAGAGACTGAAGTTACGTGGTTTATAAAACTAGATTTTTATTGCCTACTGTCGATATAATAAATACACTTTTTATAATTTTAATGATCTTAATGATTTGTTATCTGTAAGCTTTAAGCTTTAGCTCCGTTTAAAATACACTTCAAAAATTTTATAATAGCCAGAAAATAATTTCTATTGAAAGTAGAGGTGTAAGTGAAAGTTGTGTGTTGCGCACAGCAGATTTTCAAATTTAAATTACTGTATATATTGTTAGAATCTTTATTAAGTTAGTTTTTTGCCAAATTTTTTTTTTTTTTTTTTGTTGATCATAATTATTCTAAGGGTACTTTGTACCAGAATAAAGTTAATTTTTCTATCTATATATCTTAATAATTTTAACAGTTAACTGCATATCTATCTAAAATTATAAATCTTTTCAATGGTCATTATAAAAGAATTGTATTTATAATAGAAAACACACATAATAATAAAATACAATTTTTGTACATGGATATAAATCTATAAAATAATAGTATAACAAAATGAACAAAAAAAAATATATATACATAACTTAAGATATGAATTATAGTCGGATAATAGGTCATGAAATACACTTAAATGACTTAAAACAATTTCTGTTAATTCAAATTTTTAAAAACGTTTCGATCCCTGTTTTTTAACACAAATGGGATCCTCTTCAGTTTTTTAATTGAGCATCGATACTCCAAGCCAGGCAGCACGCTGACAGACCCAACAGTACCACCACAAGGACATCAAGCTACTCTTGATAACAAGTAGCTGAAATGGTGGTACATGGTGCAGAATGGTGGTACTATAATTATTGTCATTGTTGTAGGTATATTATAATTATCCTTTCTGCCTCAGCCATTTCTCTTGATTTATACCCCATTTAAGCTATATTATAACATCCCCTTCTTTCTTCTTCCTCATTGTCTACCTCTTAATGTCATTATTAGCATTGAGGAGCCTCAATCCAATTGAGCCATGCCTCATGATCCTGGTTAAGCTGCCTCATTTTTTAAATGTTTTTTCCTTTCTTCCTATTCCCTCTATATACTCCTGGTAGGAAATACTGGGATGACATCGCGGTATCTTCCCAGTGCGTCGAGCTTAAATTGCTTTTCGTGGTTCTCTTTCATCCAACACTCGACAAACGTGACTAAAACACTTTAACTGTTGATTTTCAGGCAAAGTCTTTGGGTCCACCACCTTTAACTTCTCCCTTATCCATTCATTCCTGATTCGATCTCTACTGGCCTTTCCAATGGCTTTCTGCAAGAATTTCATTTCAGCACTTGTCACCTGGCTGGCCTGCTAGTCAAGCTTAACCCAACTTTCACTTCCATAAGTGAGGGTTGAGAGGTTTACAGACTTGTATATGTATTTTAGTTTCCCTGCTAACATCTCTGTGCCTTATGCTCCACTATGCTGTTGCCGATAGGGTAATAAACGTGGTTGGCTTTGGAAATTCTTTTTGCTACTTCTGGGTCAATCTTCCCTGTGCTGCTAATGATTATTCCCAAATAGATAAATTCCTATACAATTTTGAGTAACTTCCCATTACGGAGCAGCAGGACATCCTCTTGTTCCTCTCTTGATAGGACTAAGACCTTGTTCTTGGAGGTGTTAATAGTCATTTCTTTGAGGATGAGCTTTTCCTGCCATTTCACCAGGGCCAATTGCAGCTAGTTTGTTGCTATCAGTGTGATGTCATCAGCATAGAATAAGCTTCAAACCATAACATTCCTCATGTTCCATTTTGCAACGACCGTCCAAGCAGTCGCTAACAAATTTTATGGATTTTATCCATAAATATGATGAATAAGAAGGAACTGAGGCTGTCTCCCTGCCTCACACCCCTTTCTATGGGAAAAGGACTAGACTTCCTTCCATTGATCTTCACAACATCTTTCACTTCCTGATAAACCAATTTAATAGCTGCAATAAGATCACCAGGGACATCTTTGTCCATAAAGTGTCCTATATTTCTTCTCTGGGGTCAGAGTCAAACATTACTTTAAGATCCAGAAATACTATATATATGTTCTTGTTTCAGTACCATGCTTCTTCTGCAATACTAATGAGTACAAAGATATGGCTTGAATCTGCCACCCTGGACGAAAGCCTGCTTGTCTATCCTCCATGTGTTTCTTGACTGTGGCTCTTAGTCTCCAGAATTTCTTAATATTTTCATAATAGTCTTCATCAAGAATTTTTCAAAATTTCTTCCATACAGCTCGCTCTTTTAGCTTGACAGATCATTCCTTTGCATTAATTTCCAGCCAGATAGTATTGGTTTCGTTTTTTGGGCATTTTGCCTTAAAAATAGGCTTCCCATGCTTTCTTCTTGAATATACCGTAAAGTAAGATAAATATGCATGCCAACATATACGTAGGTAGTCTCAATAAATATAAATAAAAGTTAGAATACATATTTAATATCATAAATTTAGAATTATAAAAATAAATGTATGAATACTTTTGATTTGTGTTTTTCATTGATTATTTTGAATAATTTATTTATAAGACAATGTTATGATCAAAAATATGTTTTTCATTAAATTTTTGTTGTTAATATTAAATCGTTTTATTTTTCTGAATTACTCTCAGCTAATAATAGTAATATTTGTGATTTTATAAGTGGTGTATGGATATTTTTGACTCTGACAGTACATACCTAGCTAAATTGAGTTCAAATGTTAGACTAACAGTCTTATTTCATATAAATAATTAAATGTATAGGAAATTTTCAAGTCAAGATTCATTATATATGAATTTAAATAATACCCTTTCATAACGAGCTTTATCTTTATCTGCCATTTCTTCATATTTCCCTTTTATACTGGGATCTGCTGCTGCCCATCTGCGGCCCAATTCCTTGGATACTTCACCAACTGTATACTCTGGGTTGGCTTGTTTAACTTTGCTTCTTTCGTCATTTATAAATAAGAAAAAAGCTGTTCTGTAAACCAAAATGAAACGAATCAACATAAAATAGAACCTGTCTAAACATATTATTTGTCAAGTTGAAGAAATGTATTTTATATGAAAAAAAAAAATTGACAATTTTAAGCTTATTGATTTAAAAAGATAACAATCATCAATTTTATAAGCAGGTTTTAAATATGAGGTTTTAAACACTAATAGGAATACTCTAACAAAATATACAATTAAATTTTGAATGAAAAATATATACATTTAATCAAAAAGATTTTAAAGTCTTCGTAAATATATTGGTGCATAAATATATCAAATATTGGTGCCTGATTTTTGTAAATGAAAAAAGAATAAGAATTATCTAGGAACTATAATTGGTAGTTCCTATTGTAAATATTGTAAAAATTTAGTTTGAATGACTTAAATAGCTATAGAATATAAAATATACTATTTTTCTTACATGAATAGCTTTCATATAAGAAAAACAGTCAAGATTTTTAAACATTACAATATCCTTATGGTTCATTAACAGATTTTGTAAATATTGTAAATGCTTCTTATATTTTTTTATTACAGGTCATTTACACTGCTTGATACCACTTCAACTATATCATGCTTTTATTTTTTGCTTTCCAACCACAATGTCAATTTTTTTTTTTATTCATTGATATTTACAACTGTATTATAAAAAAAAATACAACTAGTAAATGTGCACACAGTAATAATACAATCACATGAAAATGCTTGTTGAGAAACTACCCATTGGTAGCACTCTAATAATATATTTACATAAGTAGATCACGAGGCCATCTTCTTTTCAGACGCCTCAGAGAGTTATCAGGGATCGAGGAGGAAGCAAGGTTTGAAACGAGAGGGTTCGGATGGTTCTGGAGTTTGTTATGGAAGGATAAGTATCTGGATTGGGCCAAATTGGAAACATATGGAACATTGAGGTCTTTATGGATGATTTTATTTGTGACAAAGTAAGGAGCGTTGAGGATTTTAGATTGTAAGGATTGAATACAACGGGAATTCGAAGGTTTAGTGGAGCTCCAAAGCTCTATATGTCAATTTATTTTTCCTTTAATATACAGTTTCAGATCTCTGTTTTGTATTTGTTTTTTACTACCTACACCAATCCAAAAAAAACAATGAAGCATGGTTGTGAGCATGACAATACACCAATATGTGCATGATATTGAAAGGATTCAGTCAGGAAGTCAGCTATTAATTATTAGGGCTACAAAAGTTCATTCATACAATATGTACATAAATAATAAGTAATCTTCTTATGCACATTCATACCTATTATATACAATATCTACATTCACCCAGGGAAACTCTGAGCCAAGCTTTGTCCTCCACATGTGGGAAAGCAAGACTCAGAAGTTCCTAGTGCTTCTCTTCCAGCCATGTCACTGATATTAGAATCCAGTGGAAACTGAAAGAGGACAATGGTGCCACAGACGCTCAGAACTTGAATGGAGAAGCTGGCCTTTACCAGGATGGAGTCCTGCGCTTTTGGAAAAGTAAATCTACAAAGGACTCGGGGCCACTGCCGCTTTAATCTTCGAGGAGGATTATAGGGATGGTGGAGCTGAATATGGATTGAGCTTGAGGATTAGGATGATGAATAAGATTTTGGTGAAGATAGGTTTCAGTACGGTCTTGTAGATTAATAATTTGTTTTCAATTGTAAGATGAGATATTCTGTTTAATAATCTGTATAACTGGCCAAATCATCGGTTTAGTTCTTGTCTTTAAGTCTGGTGTGTGGGTTTCAAGTCAGTCTTTTGTATAAAAGGGAGCCAAGATACTGCATAGTGTCTGAGATAGGAAGTGGAAAAGAGTTAAATAGGATTGGCAGACAGGATCTGCGTCAGTGGGTGAAGGTGACATGTTTACATTTTGATGCGCCAATTGCCTTTCAAGAGTAAAGGATATATGGTTAACAGCATGTAGGCCTTGCTGAACTATGGAATATTGTGAGCAGAATATTTTGGGATTTTGTTATGGGTAGGATTCACTTGAGAAGCATTTTTTCAAAGATTTTTGGAAGGAATGGAAGCAAGCTTATTGGTCTACAGGATAAGGTATTATTAACAGGTTTACCAGGTTTAGGGAAGAGAATAATGATGGAGTGTTTCCACTGTCACAGTTGACAAAATGATAAAAGATTGAATTTAAAAAAAAAAACAGTTGTTGTGATTAGAGTTTTTTTTTAAGGGAGGTTATAGCGAGACTGTAAAAGATATTTGATTATTTTTTAAATTATTTTTGGTTTAATTTGTCCCTATTATAAATAAATTGGCTAATTATGGATGTGTTATCAATTAATTAATATCACTTGCAAAGAAGAAATAGTCAGTAAGGAAGAACTCTCTCCCCCTCCACTGGGTAAGCACTTCTTAATTATAATTTCACAATTATAATTTTATCATCAAGTTGACGTTTAAAGAAACGTTGCACCACATCAGTGGAAAATGGGTTTTCCTGAGGACACAATTTTATAGGTAGGTAAGGAATATAATTGCTTTTTTGGGAATGACTTAAATAGCTATAGAATATAAAATATACTATTTTTCTTACATGAATAGCTTTCATATAAGAAAAACAGTCAAAATTTAAAAAAATTAAAATATCCTTATTGCCTAAGAATCTGGGAAGTTAGAAGATCGTATCCAGGAGATTTTCTAGATTTTAGTTTATTTATAAAGAAAACCTCAGAGGGGTTGACTGCTTTAGGAGGCAAGGATTTTCTTGATGTTGGGGTAAGGGACTTATTTTGTGGTGTTTTGGGGAATGATCAGGTGAGGATACAGTCCAAACTGCTTGTTGGAAAAGGTTAGTAAAGGAATGCACAGCATTTTCAAAATTTGGAAATCAATAGAAATCTCTCAACAATCCTGGGAATTAACATTACAAACTTAAGGAAAATAATTGCATTTCTAAAAAAAAAACAATAGATTTAGAAACATAAATCAAAAAATAAAGATTAAAACTAAAAGAAGGACACTAATTGACCCAAGATGTTGAGTGTCTATAGAGCACAAAACTTAATGAAAGCTTAGGTAATCATCTTATTATTTTCTTTTGATTTAGTTTAACTATATCTTGTGTTCATTTTGATCACCCCACGGGCTATATTCTTCTTGGTAAAAATTATGTTATTTTTTATTTTCATACTTTACACTATGAACTAGAGATCACCCGATACTGATATTAATATCAACCATATTGGCCTTTCGGCTGATTATCGATATTGGCCGATATCAAACACTGATATACAGATATGTCGGCTTTTTTTTTTCTTAGATTATCAGCAGGGATATCCTGTATTTACCGATATAACGGCCCCTTTCACACTGAATATTGTTTTTATTGCTAATAAATGTGTCAATCAAACGTAAACGGGTCTGCATAAACTAACATAAATTTGAGCAAAAAACGATACATCGGCCTTAAGACCTTATTTAATTGAGATTGATAAAGTTAGAAAAATTTTTTTCTTAGTTTCCTTCCAATCTGCCCGATATAAACGGCAGACCAAGTAAAATCCTTTCTTACACATCAGAGTTGGACTAACTTGTCTTCTCCAACATAACTTGGCATGCTCCAGTAATTGTATTTAAATGATACAAGTGATATAGAATTTTGTTTTATTCACAAAAAATTATGGATAAATCTTATTTAAAAAATATTCATTTTATTTCTAATTTAAAGTCTAAATATATATATTTGCTATTGTATTCAATCCTGTAAATACGAATATATGCATTACAGTATTGTTGTAGGAATTACAGGTATGGTAAAGAATATAGTTATATTCACATAAAAGTATATATAAATAGACTTAATTAAATATTAATATTCTGACAAATTTACTGTTCTGAATACAGATGATTGTATCAATGATGCATGCCTTTAAAAATGCATACACTTGTATTTACTGGAGTAATAATGAACACTGTTATATTCACATAAAATTATGATAAGATTTTCTTCTTTAGTTATAAAATATTTCTTTTTATGCAAATTAATAATAGATATTAAATTTGCAAAAATTAATAGTTTCTGAAATCCCTGAACATGTCCATGTCCAACAATGAATGCTATTTCACCAGGCATCCTATATCTATTTCCCCGTCCTGGCTGGGCTCACTTAGAAATAAATGGTATTTTCATCATGAATTTTATCACGAAAAACATAATAACATTAACGATTTAAAAGGAAAAATATCACCATAATTAGTCTATTCAAAGATTGCTTAATAATTAATAAAAATATTTACTCTTAAGATTATGTGAACGGGACAATATTCTTTATTAGGTCTATTCTAAATTTTATTAATATGTGCTTAGTAATTAAGAATATAACAATATTTTTTGCCACACCTGTAAATACAACCATAATCATATTTACAGAAGTGAATACAATAGCAGCAAATATATGCAGTGGAATTCCACTGGACTGTACCAGGTGCTTTTCCCATCCCTACCCGTTCCCCCACCACTACCCATCTCCCCCCACTCCTTAGCTGAGTTTCGCAGCACAAAAGTCTTCTTCTTTAAATGGTTTTAACAAAAGCAAACTCTGTTCTTATTTAAAGTAAATTGGGTCTAGTTTGCAGTAGTAATCGTTAATTACTTAAATTAAATAGTTTTTTAGTTATCACTTTCTATTCAATAAAAAATGTGACACATAAAGAATCCCAAAACTTTAATTTTCTACTTTCCTGCTGAAAATTGAACCATTGTTTATATAAACTTTTTTGTATTTCTTAAGTTCTGCTATCACTCCACTAAATATTTCTCTCTCCTTACAAGACACCCTGTATATGGGTTTAGACATGCGGAAAACAAATTGCTAACACAGGCCACCAAGAGAAAACTTTTTACAGCCGAAAAAACCAGATTTATCAGATCTTTTTTTTATCATGTATTACTACTAAACAGTGCATCAAAGTGAAAAACTTATGTTTTAAGAAATTCAACAAGGTCAAATTGTGTGTCAAATGAGTACCTAAACTTAATAATTTAATTAAGTAATATGGTCAACAACCACGGTCAATGAATGCTAATTTTTGCCAACATTGTCAAAATCTGAGTCCCTGCAGTTTGAAAATTATTTCTCTAAGAAAAAAAAAATATAATAATTACCGATTCTGATTATAATCAGATTTCTATCAAATCGGAGACCAATTCAGTACTAGTACCTTCCTTCATGAAAACATTCCCAACAGGAGCTATTTTAAGAAAAAAAGAACACTTTCTAATGAGAAATATACAAATTATTATCGTGACCAGTTTTATGAATTGCATGGATTCTTCAAGGAGACTATAGTTGCTGGAGGTTCCAGATCTATTGGAACTGAATAAAAACTGGATCCGGGAGAAAAACCATATTTTCTTGTGCTCGAATAAAAGGTTGTTCGAAAGAATAAATGAAATTTATATTTTTTTAAAAATTAATTTTCCTTCATCGAGTATTTCACCTGCGAGACTCGGTTCGGAGTAAATAGGAACAAACTGTGACAGGACCTAAAATCTTCGCATCTCATGGTGACCCAAAACCTACATCACTACAGGTCAACTTTTGCTCTTACATTCTATTCTTTGTTTCACAAAATCTAGCTGTGCGCCAAAGGCTGGGCGCAAGTTGATCCATAGTCTGATGATATTTTTTTTTAAATATTAGATTAGAAAAGTCATCTATGAGGATGAATTGTCCCTATAGCTCTATTTTCTTTAAATAGCTGCTTTTTGGAACTTTTTCGGAATTTTTTTCCACCATCCAGGATTCGCTAGTGCTAGTCACAACACTTTTTTTATATATTACATTAGAAAATTTGTTTATGAGGATGAATTTTTCCTATATTTCTCTTTTCATTAAATAGCTGATTTTTAGAACTTTTTCGGAATTTTTTTCCACCATCCAGGATTCGCTAGTGCTAGTCACAACATTTTTTTTATATATTACATTAGAAAATTCATCTATGAGGATGAATTTTTCCTATATTTCTCTTTTCATTAAACAGCTGCTTAAAATATTAGTTTTCGAAAGGAAAGTCCTTCGGAAGATATTTGGCCCAGTTAATGAAAATGATGAATGGAGAATGCAATCAAGAACTAGGGCCATGTTGTACAGATAGACGAGACCTCAATCCCAAAGAAGCTGCTGAGCATGGACCCGGGTAGAAAAGAAAAGTGGGCAGACCGAAGCTGAGATGGAAAGATGGAGTAAGTTCTGAAATCAGAATCCTTGGAATTAGGAACTGGTGAAGGCTGCTTAAGACACAGAAACGTGGAGGAAAACTCTTGAGACAGCCAAGATCCAGTAATGGATTGTCGAGCTCGGGATGATGATGATGATCACATTAGAAAATTTGTCTTAAAGGATGAATTGCCTCGCAGAATTCACTAGTGTTGGTCATGATAATATTTTTTTTATATACTACATTAGGAAATTTAAAATTCTACGAGGATGGAGAATTTGCTAGTGCTGGTTATGATAATAATTTTTTTTTATATTACATTAGGAAATTCTAAATTCTATGAGGGTGAATTTTCCCTATATTTCTTTTTTTTTGGAATTTTTCTTGGGGCGCGCCCCCTCGGCTGGATCCGCTAGTGAATATATGTATTTAGACTAGTAAATTTGACAGAAAATATATATTTTATAGATAAATAAGAATATTTATCCATCATTTTATGTAAATATAACAATATTCTTTATCACATATTTAAATACAATTAATTACTGGAGAATAATACTTTAGTGCTGTAGCCCTCTAATATAGAAAAATAATTATATTTTTATTAGGTCCATATTTATTTCTGTTTGTAATTTGTGCTAAATACATAAAAAATTACAATTAGTATTATTTTTTAATTATAACGTATATAAAGCTGCAAAATGTAAGCATGTGTCAAGAAAAAAATAGATATTTTATCCCTGAAAGCATAATTGTTCCTGCTTTTCCTTACATAGCCCTTCATTTTCCTCCAGAGCAAGTACCGTTATTAAATTTTTTTTTCAATAATCTTCCGCAAATGTATTCCCAAATTCGCTAATAATGAATCTTACAGTATTGTTATTCATACCTGTAAATACAACAGCATTCTCATTTATAGGAGTGAATACTGTAGCAAATATAGGTTTATATTAAAAATAAAAAAATGTGCAATAACATTAATATTTACAGTTTATATTAATATAATATAGGTCATTAATCACATTTATGTTTATATCGATTCAAAGACGATTAATTGACCCATTTATCATCACTATAAATAATATTTAAAGTGAAACTACATGAATCATGATATGATAAAATCAAAAGGCCAATATATCAGCCCATGTGATGGAGCAAAAAAAATTTGGAAGAAGACAAGCACAAAATAAAAATTATGAAACTCTACCAATCTCGATGTAGAGTCCATGTGATGGACCGAAAAAAATATTATCAATAATAGTATAAAAATAATATTCCAAGTATGAACCTCGATGAAATAAGGTCATAAGGCCGATATATTGGTCTTTAGAATATTGGTATAAAGCTCAAATTTGGGGTTAGGAGAACCAAAAAACCAAAAAAGTGTTTGTATATTGGTTTTTATAATATTAGTATCGGCTGAAATATGTATATAAATTTTAGCCTAGATGACAGATTGATACTTTTATTCAGTAATTATGAGAATTTTCTTTGCGATGTTGTATGGAACCAGACATGTAGGAGCAAAAGGCCGATATGTTGAAATATAGGATTATCTTTCTTTTATCAGTCAAAATTTGCTTACAGGGTAATGCGTAGATGGTCCATTTATTCTTTTATTTAGCAATAAGTAGGATATTCCCTGTGAAACTAAAAACCATCACAAAAAGGGAACAAAAAAAAGGCCAATATGGCCCACATGATTAGTGGAGATTAGAAACAAAAAAAACAGCAAGTGCATATAATAATTACTTTTCCTGGCAAAACTAAAATATACACACAGAAAAAAGTAAAGGAAAAATTAAAGTTATAAAAAATAAGTAAACAGAAAAAGTAGATGGAAAGCGACAGGCTTGTTAAGGCGGCAATAAATCTACATGGTCTATAATGCCAACAGAAAAAAAAATAATAATATTTACTTATGCGTATATTTTTTAAAATTTTGTATTTGTATTATTCAAAGGTGTTCCAAATAATTTTCATATTTAACATCATTGATTCTTATATAGTCAAAAATCATTCTAAAAGCTTCAGTAACATTAAATAGCTATCAATGACTTGATAAATATTAATATAAAAAATAAAAATAACATAAATAGTAACATTAAATAGTTATCAATGAATTAATAAAATTTATCTTAATTAAAATAAAAATGTTCCAAAAGAAAAATAATAATGCGCTATCTTACAAAGGTCGTTTTGGTGCATTTGGGTCCTTGATTTGTTTTCTTTTCTTCCCTCTTCTACCTTTTTCATTTTCAGATGGTGTGTAACCTTCCATTTCTGTTTCGTACCTTTTCTTATCTTGATCTGCTAATTCATGAAATCGCTTCCTTTCCTTCTCAGACATAGTCTAAAAATAATAAAAAACAATCATTTATGTCTAATAGTAAAATTGAAAAAAATGAATCACATAGTTGACTGATTATGTTACATGCTCCTTGTCTAGTCTATAAAAGGTTTCCTGAAAAGTTGAGGGTCTTATTTATAAATGTTTCCAAGAAGGTCTAACAATTTTATCTTCACTATGTAATTTATTTTTAAAAAAACTTGGCCCCTTTATTAAGCTGTGAGGTTATTTAACTGAATTCACATTTTAAAAACGTTCCTTAAGATTTTATTCATTAACAAAAGTGCATGTCAAGAAGATCTCAAAAGCAATTAAAATCACAAATAGAATTGTGAAAATAACCGTTTAACTTTGATTTCATTCCAGTTTATTAACAATTAATCATTATTGACTTTACAAAAGTTTACAAGTTTTAGGATTGAATGATGGAATACACTTTTTACTGAGTGAAGAGGCGTGGGCAATGTGTATCTAATTAACAACTTTAAATATTTATTCCAAAATGCCATTGCCTTTGAGAAGGATCATTGGGATGACAGGAAATGGATAAGGATTGCCCAAATGAATTAGGATGAGGAATAAGGCTATAAAACAATCAAATTTATGTCTTTTCTGTACTATCAAGACTTTGAGAATTTGGATGATCAAGTCCACACAGGAATCGTGTAAAGTTCTCTTAGTATCGCAATATGGAGCAATGGGGCATAATATTGTTTGAAATACTTTAGAAAAAGAGGGTAGAATACATTTTCAATTTAAAAATGGGAGGCTCTGTTCAATGGTCTTCATAAATGGCTAAATAATTGGTCTAGCTATTGTATTTAAGCTGATATATGGGTTTCATATTAGTCTTTTGTTTACCAGAAACCCAAGATACCATAGTTTGCCATAGAAGGGAAGTAGGATACAGTTTAAAAAGGTTGGCTGACAGAATCTGCGTTGGATGGTAAAAGTGACATGCTTTAATTTTAATTCATTGACTTTCATTTGCCGATCGCAGCACCTTAGCTCAATCAGGAAAAGATGTGATTTCAGGGTCTGAGCGGGGTAATAGGATGGCGGTATCATCATGAAATGTTGCTAAGAAGGCATTAGGATTTGAAGGGATAACAGTGATGAAGAAAACTGGACCAAGACGATTCATGTGAAACACAGGAATCAATTGGATAATTGGTAATGTGCTGCAGCAAACTTGGAAGGAAAGGTGTGAGAGGTAAGATCTAATGACTAGGTATAAGGATTGGAGTAAATGGATTTTGAGCTTCAAGGGTAGTCCAACTACCTACAAAGCTAGAGTAACATTATGTTATTTGAAGTGTTGAGGATATATGGTAAGAGCATGAATCGAGCTGGATAGATGTTTAAATTATACTGAGGTACATCTGTTAAAATATACTATTGAAATAAAAGAAATTTCGGAAAAGTTGAGTGAAATCAGGACTGACACTACTTTTACCATCGGAGCGGATCTGGACTTACAAGTTGAGTCCGCATGATTAGGATTACACAGTAAGAATAAAGCCTAAGCAAGAAGAGACCCCAGGTCCTATTACTTCCCAATCTGTTCGGCAAACAGAGATGAGCTGATACGGTCTCTACCGTAAAGATAGGATATATATTCTCTAATAGAGGTGCTTCTCTACACATCCAGGCTGAAGAGAGAACAGATTGCACCATTTATACATAAGTGAAGTATATTGGATAGCCAGACAAAGGAAATTGACAGCTAAAATAAAATATGTCTGATTCAGTAGCGCTAGAGTTTGATGCAGACATTCAGGTACATAACCAGCGGTAATTATAGGTAAACTTAGTGACTTGAGTGTTTTTTTATTAAATTTTATATTAAAATTACCAAAAGTTTTTAATAATTTCACTATTTTCTCACCAAAAATAATTTTTAATTATCTACCTTTTTTTTTGTAGTAATGACCTGGAATTTTCTATTTATATATTTTTATAAAAACCATCCTTATATTTTCTAATATAAAAAATATTTTTTTTCGAATCACTATGACTTTTACATTTTTTTTTTTGCTATGTTAGAAATGAATATTTTGTTAAAACATATTCTATAATAATTTTCATTAGTAATTCTTTTTCCTGAAACTTTACTTCCCAACAACTCAGTTATGACTAATACTCTAAACTCCTGTTATACCAGTACACAATACCTTATTGCACACTATGATGAATTCCAAAAACATTTCCTCGATAATTATATATATCTGAAGCCTGACTAAAATATTTTATCTCTTCCTAACATATTTTACTGATTAAATACTATTTCCTTTGTCATGCCAGATCTGATCACACAGGAGGTGGTGTTAGACTATATACCCATGACAGTCTTGAGGTCAAAATCCTCCTACAGCCTCCCTTTTATGATTTTCCTCATCCTGTTCTTTGAAATGTTTTCTATTTCCTCTCCTCTAAATCCACCTATTTCCATAATGCTCCCGATTCCAAATCCTAACTGAAAATGTTTCATAAATTACTCCTGCCAGAATCCAAAAACCTTAGTTTCCTCCTTTCACTCCAGATGATATCAGTGACTATTTGTTATTCTTCCCTCCCAATCTTTCTACTACTGCTGATATTAAATAGCACAACTTCGATTTTAGATATTAGTACCTGATATGGGTTTAGAATGAAAAACGGAGATTCCTCTGTTAAGTTTTAGAGGTGCCGAGTTTGAGCTCCTTCCATCAATTTTTCTTTTTGGCTTTTTCATTAATTGGGATCTCGAATAGTTGGTGTTTTTTTTTTTGTTTTTTTTTTTTAGACATAGGGGAACTAAATGCAAGAGTAGGAAACAGTGAAAATTGTAGGACAGTCGAAAGATATAGTGAACAATAAAAAAACAATAAGGGTTATAGACTAATATACATTTGTGAAGAAATGGATTTTATAAACACTTGGTGCCAACCAACAAGACTCTATAATTGACTATGTATTCTAAAGGCGAAAGTTAGTACCGCCTCAGGATGTTAGAGTTATGAGAGGTGCAGAATGTGGAAGTAATCATAACCAATTGAAAATTATTTATACAATTATACAATTAAGATTGTATTTTACCTTGAGAAAATTTATAAAAGGTATTTTAGAAAAATAATAAAATTAAACGTTTTTATTTTTCCGAATTTTAAAAGTTAATAATTTGTATAACACTCTCTTTTGCACACAACATTTCTGTACGTATTGGGCATACTGTTTATAGGTATGTCACAAGAAATCTCATACCATAAACATAATATCAATACCATAATATAGCTCTCAGTTGCTGAAGGTTAAGAGGCTGCAGATGGTGATCAAAAATCCTTCTCTGCAGTGCATCCCACATATGCTCAATGAGATAAAGATCTGAAGACAATATGGGAAAGGGCAGATATGAAATGTTAGGATTTTCTTAAATTAAAGAACAACTTTTTCACTATGTGGTTGCATGTTGCCGTCAAGAAAATGGAAATAGGTGGCAATTATGGTCCTGGTTTGAGGAATGTACTCCTTTATCTTTCTTGAACATAACAAACTGCAATGAGATTACCCTTCACAATATACAGTAGAGTCCCTCCTCCTGACTGCATTAAAGGAAGCACAAACTGTGGAAAGACTCGGCGCATAAGATCGCTATAAATACAAAAACATCACTCGTCTGTAAAAATAACAGCATTCCAATTTGTATCCTCACCTTGGCCCTTGATGCACCATAATATTGCTGCATGTCGTCTTAAAGGGGCATAAGATTTTTGACCAACTTCTCACAAAGGATTACGAATGATTTGAGTTGATAAGGGCCTCAGTAGAACATTAGACACTTTATTTAGGCTCTGTTGGGCCTAATGAAAAGGATTGCTTTTTACAGTAACTGGTTTATCTGAATCTGGCTAAGTCTGGGCGACCACAATCTGGAAGATGCCAACTGAATCGGCGATATCCACTTACCGGTACCCTTGACCACTCATTCTCACGATAATATTGTAAACTCCAGTATGATTTATTGTGGTTCAATGATGTATTTCCATCATTAAACAGAATATTACTGGATTACAATTGAGAAAAATCGAGAATAACTGTTATTTTCCACAATGGGTATTCTTCATGTTAACTATCTAATTTATTAATAGTCACTAATTTATTAAAAATAAACAATACTTGTTTAATTTTTATATTTAACAACAACTTCCAGAATCCATAACAAACAACAACAATATGGTATTTCAATTAAAACGAATCAAATAGAAATTTGATTGAGAAATCCCTATCCATTTTTGGGCAGTTTATTACTTGATAGCTGTTTTTTAAAATTTATTATTATTTATTTATGATATTTACAACTGTATTAAGAAAAAATACATTGAATGCATGTGATAACAGAAAATAATATCATGAAAACACTTGTTAAGAAACTATTCACTGGTAGCACTCTAAAAAAAAAAAATGTAATTACAATAGGAGATCTCAAGGCCATCTTCTTTTCAGATGCCTCAGTGGGTTATCAGGGATCAATGAGGAAGCAAGGTTAGAAACAAGAGGGTATGGATGGTTCTGAAGTTTATTATGGAAGGATAGGTATCTGTATTGGGCAAAATCGGAAACATAAGGTACATTATGATCGTTATGGATGATTTTATTAATGACAAAGTAAGGAGCATTGAGGATTTTGGATTGTAATGATTGGATACGTGAGGAATTTGATGGCTTTGTGAAGCCCCAAATCTCAACTCCGTAAATCCAAATAGGTCTTATTGTACTCATGTATATGAGTCTTTTGTAGTTTACTGAAAGATTAGAGAGTTTGTTTACTAAGTGCTAAAGTAATCCGAAACGTCGAGCGGTTTCTTGTCATTTAAGTTTGGTATGAGGATTCCAAGTAAGACGTTGTTCCAAGTGGAGTCCAAGGTATCGGATTTGTTCAACAGGGATAAGCAGGGTATTATTAAAGGATACTGTAGGACAGGAAGTTATATGTATACAACGAAGGATAAAGGTGATTTGATGGA